AAAATGAATGTTCCACCTTTAATAATTGTATATACAGAAAAATATGGCATGGTAGATGTTTCTGATAAAATGGCCAATGAGTGTAGATACAACATAAATGTTCTTAATAAATTGGCAGTTTGTGCAGGGAGATTACACTGAATATCTAAAACACTTATTGTTGTTCAGTTCTGTGTGAAAGTCATTTTATTTCTATTAATTTAATTTCCAGTCAAAACAGCCATTAAATAAAAGTTATTCATTTTTCATTAGTGACAAATAAGAAACACAACATGCAGTTCTGTGCAAAGACAAGCACTTTATTTAAATCCATTTATCTTGGTAATAAGTGTGCTTTTCTTGTATAAACACTATATCACTACAAAGGATGAAAATAAACATAAATAAAGTAAGTAGTAACAGAAATTTCTTGTGAGCAATTTCCAAGAACACAGGTTCAGTTCTGGACTTCTCCTGGATGGCCTTAGCCATTAATTACAGGATATCCTGTAATTAATGTGTTTTTTCACGGATAAATTGTTCTGTGTGTGTATTTTTCACCTTTATTCAACTTCTTCCGTTCTCTTCTGGAGACTCACTTTCAGTTCCTCAAAGAATCTGCAGACACACCTCCAAAGTTCAGTCTTAGAAGCTGGTTGATCATTTTCTGAAGTAATCAAACACATTCAGTGGTGTTGAGGTCTGGACTCTGGGGTGGTCAGTCCATCGTCCAGCTTCTTTGTTTGATGTGTCCGTCTCCTTTTCTCAGTGAGGTTCTTCTTGATCAGCTACACATCCTTTCAGACCCACAGCGCTGAGTCGTCTTCTCACAGTGGAAGGATGGACAGAAACACCTGTGGATGTTTTCAGATCTGAAGCAGCTTGATTTTCTCCTCTCTCTCAGAGATGAAAGCTTTAAGTGCTGTTTATCTGATGGGGGCAGTTTTGGGGTCTACCAGGTCTTCCAGGTGGTTGTTAGGAGCCCCATTTTCTCTGTAGCTTTTAATCAGTTTTTGAACTTCAGTTTTGGAAGTTTTTTTTTTTAACCTTTGACTTTCTTACATTCTTAATGCCAATGGATTATTCTTATCTAATCTTCTTAGAAATATCTACTTAGTTCATTCTCTCGATTTGTCCATCTCTTCTTAAACTCTCCTTTAAAGGCTCTTCATATAACATGATCATCATATGTTTCGTATCTAAATGCTCCGTTATCTTCATCACTACTTTCCAAAACCGCTGCAGCAGCTTCAGCAGCTGTAAACTCTCTGCACGCCATTTCACACGAGTCTCTGATGTGGACTGAATGAAGAATGAAGGGTTTCCGGCGTGATGGTCAGTCCTTAGTGATTTCCTGAGTGTCCATTGGTCAGTTTCACACAGAATGTAGACGGACACACGAATCCACCAGTTCCACACGGTGAGAGGCAGATGACGTGTATCTCAGCCCCTCTTCATAGGCTCATAACTCCGGATGTGAGTCTCGTATGATCTCGTGATAAGATGGAATGGAAAGGGCGACTCTACAGATTCAGGAAGTGTCTGAACTGGATTTCTGAGCTGGATCATCACAAAGATACAGACACAGATATAGAAACAGAGAATTTGACACACAGGTGCGTTCATGGACTCCGAAGCGTTGATGGCTGTTTTGACTGGTAATTAAAGAAATTAATGGTAGTCTCTGACTTGTGTGCTGTGCTGTTTGTGTCTGTAAATGCTGCTCTGATTCTCTCCAGCTGTGTGTGTTGGTGTGAATGCTCTTCCACATCAGTCCCAAAGCACTGAACCAATTTTCAGAGGATGCTCCACAATCACTGCAAATTGCCTCTACCTCTGAAGAAGGTTTCAGATTTTTTGGAATCAGACACGCTGACATATTGGAGGCTGCATGTTTAGTTCTATCTCCAGCTTTTAATCAATGCGCGCTTTCATGGTAAAACTAATTGCCTCCAACAGTCTTGAGATTTATTTGGATTTAACTTCCCACAGCGTGTGAGCTTGTCTTGTGAACTTCTCAGCAGGAGCCTGTTTGCTGTGGAAATTACAGCACCAGAACCAAAAAATCAAAAAAAATGATTCCAACTAAAGAGCCCTGGAGCACGCAGAGCAGTCTGCTAGCACACCGAGGGCTCTACCTTTGCCGCAGTGGAGCAAAGTGGAGCCAGGATGAAAGGAGAAGTCAAATTACTGAGGTCTTTATGTGGCATTAAACTCCATCTTGCAGTGCTTTTATTTTGTACCAAACAGTGTTAATGCAACATGGAAAAGTAGTAATCACATTCAGAACACAGTGAGCGTGAGTGACTAACAGCACATGCTGTATTTTAAGATGCAAGAACCGTGACTGCAATGACTTATGTGTGTCTTTATTTACAAAATGTATTTTTAATATGCTTAATCAACAAATATTAATTCATTACTTTAGTGTTATTGGGCATAATAGGTTAGATTGTGTTTGCTGTTACTTTTCATTATTATAAAAGCCTCTTTTGTTTAACCACGGCTCAGATTTCACATATAGAGATGTTTTCTATGAGGATTTCAACCCTTAGAATCTTCAAAAATTGTGCATTATTATTTTGCTTTTGCAAATCTTTTGGTGTAGAACTGGCCTGCTTTTATTGGGCGAGTCTGTGTTTTTGTTGTTGTTTTTTTTGTAAAAACATTTCCTATACTTGTTCCCACACTGCAAAAAATGGTATCTTTTTGAGAGAAATGATCTGAAATCAAGTCCATATATCATTTTTTTCCTTACTTCTAGACATTATTTACATATTTTAGATCATTTTATTATGTGAAATGATCTCACTATATTGGCAGACAGCTTTGCTGGTTTCAAGCACATTTCTTAAAACAAGCACAATTATCTGCCAATATATTGAGATAAATTTACATAATAAAATTACTAAAAAAAAGTTTTAAAAGGTCTAGAAATAAGTTAAATAATCTCTAATTAAGTTTACAACAATCTCAACTGGAGAAATATTAGATTCCTTGACTATATCTAAGATAATGTTACTTGACAAGATATCATTATTTGCCATGTGGCACATATAAACTTGAAAAATAACCTTTTGACATAAATTTTTAGGACCAACCGAGAATGCTTTAACCCCTTAAATTCAGTCTTAATACACACAAAGTCTTATTATTCAGTAACTACAGGGACTTCAGTGCAAACTGGCTGAGCTATTCTTAGTTTATAGAAGTGTGTAATAACACTGCGAGCCCATCTGTAGACCCTGGCTAGTTATGGGGTTAATTGAGTGCATTTCCCTTGTTAAAATTACTGGGTTATTTCTGGAGCTCAAAGCTTGAATGTTTTTTCTTAGAATCTCAGCATTGTTACCTTAATTCAGGCTCTCTGACCTTCACTGAAAGAACAAAAACACTCTGATTCTAAATGTGGCCAGCAGCTCTGATTGTTGAAACTAATTCAAGGCCTTCATCCAGCCTGAGCTTTTCAATCACAGACCTTATAATCATTAATGCTTCAGTTAAACACCAGGAATCCACACAAAACTGTTTAACTGCAGCCTAAACCTCAGACCTTCAACTTTTATTTACTTAAATACAGATAATACTATTTCTATAGAAAAAGAAGAAAATAACAATCAGAAAAATCTGACTCTTTAAATGTTTAAAAACATTAACGAATTGGTTCAAACTAACACAAATACAGATGATTCTACTGAACTGAGTCAGAGCTGACGCACATTTGGGACTTTTAACTGATCTAATTATGTTTATTATATTAAAACTAATGAGTGAACATTCAATTTTATCACTACCAAATCAATCATAACTCTACCAAACTGTACCGGATGTTTCAGTAGTGACTGTTTCAGTGACAATTTTAGCTCATTTTGAGCTCAGAAACTCAGCCAGTACATGATCAGCAAACACAGCTTTGAACAGCTGTTCACACAGAAAATCATCATATTTTACATTAAAATACTAAAAAGTGCTGAACTCCAGAAAATATGACGATTCTTAATGTTCCACACTGATTTTCAAACTTTGGGACACATTTACTTCAAAACAGTGGGATCTAACTGCTCACCATGTGGCCATGAGGGACAGGGATGCAGCCTCACTTCCTGCTCTAAAATGCTAAAATGTCATCTGAAATTGATTTTGTTGATTTCTGTAAACTGTCATAACTGCAGCGAAAGCCATCTACAAATTAAATCCCAAGTGGTGATCATCGGGGTCCAAGCACTAGACGCCATACTGGAGTCTGTAGAACTCAATGATGGGTTAGGTAATTAACAAGGTTAATTACTGGCTTGTTAATTCTCTTCTTGTTACTCTTTTCTTGAGTGCCTTGCTCTCCCTTTGCTGCTGTAGCACTGTGAACTTCCCCACTGTGGGACTAACAAAGGATTATCTTATCTTCTGTCTGCTAAAATGTGTACATGTTGACCTTTTTGTTTTGAAAGCAACAGACTTTTAACTAAAAATGTCTAAATACCTACAAATCAGTACAAGTTTCGGACGTGGCTAGTATTTCCAAAGTTGCTGAACTCAAAGAATTAAGTAAGTCCTCAGTATTTATTCCTGTGTTTTACTCCCAGAGTGCTCCAGAAAGCACCATGTTTTTTATGTTAAATCACTACATTCACAGAGGAATGATCTGCTGGACTTCACTGCAGGGTATTAGTTTTCAAACTTGCCATCTATTTCACTGGACATGAGTTTCCACATCTGAATCTAACAGTTGTAAACAAATAACATTTACATTGCATGTACATTTTATTCTGCATTGACAGCTTGGAGGCCTCTGACATTTTTCTGTCAAGAAATAATAAAAACATGGTGAAAATATGAGAATATTTTTTCTTACAATGCTGTTTGCAACAGTACCTTCCAATTCAAATCATAATAAAATATTTCCTCTTCTCCTCTTTGAAAGTTCAGATTCTGCATTTCTGACAGAAGAATAGGTAAAATTGAACTACACTCTGCTTTTGTATTTGCCAGAGATAATTTTCTACAGTTTACATTCATCTCTGCAGGAATCGTACGGACAGCGCTGCCCAACATGGACCGTGAGACACGGGACCAGTACGTGCTAGTCATCCAGGCCAAGGACATGATGGGTCAGCTCGGCGGCCTGTCCGGCACCACCTCTGTAACGGTCACTCTGACTGACGTCAATGACAACCCGCCTCGTTTCTCTCGCAGTAAGAACACAGTGTATTTCTCTGCTCTTTCAGACTGACCCCGGTCAGCTGACTGTCTGATATAGTCACTGCTGGGCTCTGTGTTGGTGTCTGTAGAATAAAAAATCAATGAGAGAGTCATACATGTGCATACACACTCACGATCAATGTGAAGGTGAGTCAGATGCATATCGTCACTGTTCATAAAAAAAAAATGCATCTCCATCTTTCTCTATTTTTATTGTTTTAGTTTGTTAAAGCCCAGAAGCTCTGCTTTTCATCACGTCGGAAATGTTTATGAAGAATGAACCAACAGAAATAGAAGAAAATTACAAAACTCATTACATTGATTGTCATTAAAAGTAAATATCGGACTTGCTGTCTCCTGCACTGTAATCCCACATTTAGTTTTAACCCAAATAAAAGTCTGTTAAACATAAAATTGAATATTTCCCACATATTCCTCAACTATTTTAAGTTTTTCCAATAATTTCATACACTGTAAAAGTGTAGAGAACCTTAAGAAATGACTTTATGTGGTAACAATTGAATTTTCAGTTTTTATTCAATCTGGATGAAGACTTTGGATGAACTACTCTTTAGATCAAATTTTTGGAGTTAAATCAAACACAGTCATTTTTGAACTGACAAACCATTTTTTACAGTGTACATTAAAATGGCATGTTTGAGTTGCAGTTTATTTTAGTCTGTTGCTGTGCTGTCGGTTGCACCGCTGTTGGTTTTAATAATTTCTTTTTAATTAATGTTACTCAACAAATGTGTGTAACTGAGTGAAACGAGACGTTTGATTGTTTAACACAATCTTGTTTGGGTAAAACTTTCCCATTGGCTCTTTGTACTGTACTGTATCACAGAAAGTCAACAATACAGTTTAAGTTGAGCTGAAAAACAACACTGAATGTGCTGCCTCATTATGAGCTAAGGCCGTTAAAGTTAGTGAACACCCTCTCTGACATGGTGTCTTTAGGATGGCTTCATAAACATAAACTCCTGGCCGTGAATATACAGGGATTTTTGTGCCAGCTGTAAAGTTTGGTGGAGGAGGGATGATGATATGGGGCTGTTTTTCAGGGGTTGGTCTAGAACCCTTAGTTCCAGTGAAGGGAAATCTTAATGCTTCAGCACCAAGACATTTGGACAATTGTACACTTCCAACATTGTGGGAACAGTTTGGTGTGGAAGAACTCCACTGGCCCTAACAGAGCGCTGACCTCAACCCCATCAAACACCTTTGGGATGAACTAGAACGGAGGTTGTGAGCCAGACCCTCTCATCCAACATCAGACATAATTTGATAAAATGTTATTTTAGCCCAGGTAAGTGTTCTTTAGCAGAGCACAGGCTGCTCTCTGGCTGAGTTTGAGGAACTGTTAGTGCCCAAGTCAAACAACTGTTTTTGGACACAGTCCAAAAGTCTGACAGAACTGAAAATCTGAGACACTTTTCATTTAAACCTGGAAAGACTTACAATTGTGAACATTTGAAAACAAATGACAAAATAAGGTATAAATTTATGAAATGGTGCTGTGTTTGTGTCTCTGTGTTCAGACTGATCAGGTGTGTGAAGCTGTTGATGTTGAGCTGTTTGTACTAAAAGCTCAGAGTGTTTTTTGTCTGATCTCTTCCAGACAAGTGTCTCCATAGAGGATGTGTGAACGTATTTACAATTAGATAATCAATTAAATGTAATTTGACCAGGAGTGCCCAAACTTTTGCACACAGCTTTATCTGAGATGCACTAAATGACCTAAAATGTTTTAAGTGAACTCAAAAAATATCAGCTGTGAAATCAGTTTAATTAGTTTTATTTGAGTTAACTTAAATTTTTTTTTTTGGTGAAAACACCGACTCATCCACACCATCAACTTTGAGTCTGAAACTGACCCGAGTTCAGCAAAGTTCCATCCTAAACGGATCAGAACCGGCCCATCATCAACCAAAGAGCTGAATAAAACCTGACAGGGTGGCGCCGGTTACCATGTAGTGACAGTAATAGGTCACGGATCATGAGATCACACATACACAAAGTACAAAACGATATAAAATACCAATAATCAATCAGCCGTCAAACATTGAGTTTAAATCTGCTTTAATAAGTTTATTCATCAAGCAAACAACATCCCAAACGTTTAGAGTAGACAAACGTTCCATACTGCACTGTTCCCGTTCTGCACAGATACAGCGGCACGTTAGCATCGCCTGTTCAATCCTAAAGCTCTATTTCTCTTTATGCTCTATTGAACAAGTTACACACAACAGATTGAACATAAAACATAAACATATTTTTGGCCAAACAACTCAAGGCAGGAGGTTACAGGCAGAAATGACCATTTTGGTCCTTTGGTCATTTTTCAGATCTTTGAATGTATTCCATCTACAGCATATCTTCTATTGATCATAAACACATCAAAGCCCAACAGAAACATGTTTATTTCAATGCTTTTTGTGAATTTGTGACCATTTAACTGTATTTTCCAACTTTACTGAAGGCTTAGCTCCGCCCACACTTGGTACAACGTCAAGTCATATATCAGTGTAAAGCTCGTTTCCTGTGGAATTAAAACACAATATCCATATATATCTATTACTTTTGTACTAATAACAACGTTTACACAACTGTGTGAATATTTCCTGAGATCTCACTGAGCAGTGCAGCTCTGAGGCTCATTCTTAAGCCTCTTTTTTGTCAATATCAGATTCCCTTTACACCCAGAACCAAGAATTTAAGCTTTGAGAAAACATGCATTCACGAAATGTAACATGTTCGGTCCTAAACATACTCTAAAGCAGGATGAGTATAGAATTAAAAATGGAATTCTAGATGTTATACTATAAAATGACCTTCAATGAACAGTGGCTCTGGAGTTAGTCTTCACAATGAAATAAGCATTTTAATTCTAACATCATCCAAAGGCTAGATTTTTTTATATGCCAGTGTATGCACATATAAGTATATACCATTTAATTTGAACGTCTAAATGTATTTTTTTGCAAAACATCTAATACCGAAAATACTTTTAAGAAGATGAGAGATTGATTGTGATTTCTATTTTAAAATATACGATACCTGTTTAAAAAATGACCCGATTCACCTGTAGCGTCTTAAACGTCCATTTGGCTGCACTAATCTGTCCATTCCTGAATGGATTCACTGTTTATTTCCCGTTTTGCTCACAAGCGTCGACCTCTGTGGAATTCTGTCAGCATGAGTTTGTGACTCCAGCACGCCAGACTGAAAACTGTCGAGGCAGTGAAAGAGGAGGAAGGATAAAGTCAGGAGAGAAACTAAAGCTGGAGAAATGCAGGTAGACTCTGAAAGCAGGAGAGCTGTGAGAATTAATGTAAGGTCTGAATGTAAATGCCATTCAGATTCCACACCCACCCACAGATACACGTAGAACACTAAGACAGTCATGTACGTGGACAGATTAAATCAAGGTGTGTCTGACAGCTTCATATTCATATCCACAAGAAGGAGCCCACAGACATTTTCTACTGAGCTTGATTTGCAAAGCTACAAATATAATTTGCATTGACAGGCCAGAACAGACTTCTCCTGACTTTATCTTCACTTTTATAAAGGTCTTTATATATAACATGTATACTATCCTAATTATGACAGTTTCAACTTATTTCTAGACATGTTTATTTAAATGAAGTAAATGAAGTGAAATCATCTCACTGCACTGGCACTTCTGTTGAATATTATTTCTTGAAATGAGTAAAATGATCTTCTAGCGCAGTGAAATCATTAAAACGTTTAGAAACAGGTTGAACAATCGTAGAATAATTTTACAACAGTATCCCTTTGGGAAACGTCAGATATATTGCCTGCCTTTGTGATGTTTCCTCTAGCCTGAGTCTGCTTGGTTTGTTGCTCGTAGGATATTTTATTTCTTTTAGCCTTTCATCTAAAGGCACTGTCAGAATGCTAACGCCAGACTCGGGCAGTTTAAAAAGCTCCCCAGGCTCCTCACCTCGCTTTGCAGATCAGCCTCTTTGGAAAAATGCTAAGGGGAGTCATAGAAACCTGGTAATTTCAGACTTTGTCTGATTTCTTCTCCCTCCAGTGAGTAAAAACACCTGGAAATAAGTTGAATAATCTTCTAATATTCTTACAACTATCTGATAATGAGAAATATTAGCTATATTGCAGGGTTGACAGTGTTACTGAGGTGACTGGAGTGAGATTTTCAGGTGGCTGGTTCACAGTCATTACATCACAAATACATAAAATATATAATAAGATGCTGTAAGAAAGTAAACAAGTTTATTTATCAAGCAGTGCTTTGAAACAATAACGTTAATGTTTAGAGTGGATAACGCAGGGATGGGCAACACATGCGGCTCTTTTACTGTCCTGTTGTGGCTCCCCAGCAGAATCAGATTTGTAGGTAAAAATAAAATAATCCTCCTTTACAGTAAAATAAAGCTCTGCTGATCATTCAACACAGTTTAACAATAAATGGTCTTAAACTCTGGAGTTAATGTAGAACTGCTAATTCACCCTTTAACCCTGAAGATCAGCGCAGACTGCTGGACACCATAGCAACACAGACAACAGTCTCGCCTAGCTAGTAGCTAACGAAATGGCAAAGAGAGAGATTTAAGACGAACATTGATGATTTAGAGATGAATGGACTTATTTGCGTTTATAATCACTCCAGCTGGTTTCCTGATACGTTTAATCTGCAACGAGAAACTGAAACACTAAAAAGTTGCGAAGCTGATTTCAACTTCTCATTCGCCAGATTCTCATTCAAATTTTCCCGTTCCACCTTAAATGATGCAGCAGCTACATTCTGGCACCTCAGGCACTATTTAAGGTGGAACGGGAAAGTTCAAACAAGAAGCTGGAGAATGAGAAGCGGCTTCAGCCTCATAAAAATTCACACATTGAGAAACATTTTATAAGAAACTGCTCTTTTTTTGCAGAAAAGTTTCCTGCTGGAGATGTGAGAAATAAGTCTGTGTTTTCATTTATACTGAGACATATTTAC